ACTAGATCAGTACCCGTACAACCTCAGAAAATAAGGACTTGGAAGAATATACCTCAGTTCAATCTTTGTACATTTGCTTTTGAAAGATGCTGTCTATTTGGTAGGAATCTATTCGCTCATCAGTTACACTTGCAGATTATCAAGGCCATAATCCATTGCCTGAAAAATCAAAGTGAGACTGATTTATTTTATGTCTTTTAAACAGACTATAAAATGCCATTAGAGGACCAAGAAAATCTTACTGAAGCCCTGAGATGTTGGGGTCTAGCATCTTTGTTAGACTGCTGGACATGTTGTTGAAGGAGATGAATGGAAGGAGCTGGAGAGCCTTTTTTGTTGTTTTGATGCACAAAACACCGCAAAACTTCTGGTGGCTTTAATTGGTACCACATAACAGTGATCACTGTGTGCCACTGTCAAAACTTGCAAAGAGCTTTAGGAACATCTTTTAATAGCAGTACATACAGCATTCCTCTGAGCAGACAACACAAAAGCAAACATGAAAACTCTTTTGCCTTTGGGTAGCCCGGTTATGTCAGTGAAGAGATGGCCTCTTGATTAAATCCAGACTGAGTAGTTTCCTGTTAGCATGCTAACTCAGCCCACAATGTCTTATTCTGAAAGTCTGTTATTGAGCTTGTCTGCCAAGTCCTTTTTCCTTTTAAACTTACAGGCAGAATTGCTGAAATAATACAAATACAAACAATGCCTAAAAGTCTCTTAAAATGATTTCTAGCAGTTTAATGTTTTGCTGACAAAATCAGGTTTAGATTTTCAGGGTTTGGGGTTGTTTTTTTGTTTTGCTTGCCTTTTTTTTTTAAACATTCTCCCAACATGATGTCTTGGCGAAGTTGCAGTGTTGCAATTAATGGAAAATTTTGTGCATGTATCAATCTTGGAAGCAGATTCTGCCCTTGTTTGGTACACAGTCACATCAGTGAATGAGAGGTTTTTACACACACTGAGGAGAATATGGCCTGAAGTAAATATATTGTGGAGTGGGGGAAACTGCTGGATAGAAAATTGAGAGTTAAATACAGTGGTGCAGACTTTCTTCCCTGTTTGAAAGCGGTTGTATTGTGTAACTAGTTATTTTCAAAAGTATATTTTAATTGTAAGATGAAAAGTCAGCAAGAAAACTTTTTTTCCCCCCAAATAAGTTTTGCTTAGGGAAAATTTGAATGGAAGAGAGATATAGCGGTGGTGACAATATATCCTTTTAGTGTTTCTGTAATGCTGTCATATATAATTATATGTACACCTTTAAGTCAGGTATAGAACAAATTATACACCTTTAAAACAGCCATGAGATCCGTGGAACAAAATTTTGCAAGTTACTCTAGTGTAACCTCATTCATTCCCTGTGAGGTTGCGTTGGGGTAACAGTGGGGTTTGGTGCAGTAGTACTGTGCATTGCCTTGTCTATTTATAAAAGGCATGAATGGGTTCATGACATGAGACCAAGTTACCCAGTGTGTAATTTCAGTCTGTTTGAACAGATGTAAACCTGCGGTGCTTCCAGAAATTATCTTGCATCTTGCACCCAAGCTTGTTTTCCCTGTGTCAGCCTGTGTGTTTCTGCAGCCGTGGGGTGGACAAGGTGGGGCAACTTGTCTGGGTTAAACCTGACCGCATCAAGTGAAATGAAGGGCTCTGTTTTGGCTGGACCACTTTCCCAGACCAGTTTGCTGTAGCAGGTGGACAGAAAAGGGCCTCTGGGAATCGCTTCTTTCAGTGGCTTAAACTCAATATGAAATGGTGCCATTTTGCAGTTGAGATGTGGCTGCGTTTCCTAGGACCTCTGCTTACCTACTGTGTCTATATTCTTTACAGTCTGTTGACAGGTCCTTGTGTCTTGATCCTACAAGATGCTCCTGGCTCTTCCAGGGCTTCCTACAGACACAGAGGCGCTTTTCTGCCAAAAAAACTGTGCCTGGGCCCACTTCTTGTTAGAAAGTCCAGAACATTGTGGGGTACTGCTATTATTCCTATTTTTTCTTTCCCTGTCTAGTCTTTTGGTTTTGTTTTTTTTTTCATACAGACAGCAGGTTGTATTTTAATGTAACAACAAGAGTTTGTTGGACCTCAAGCTGGGAAATGAGATGTCCTTGTGCAAGAGTAGCAGAGCTTTAGAACAATATTAAAGACATCTATATTGTATCAGAAATGGTGTGCGCAGCAGGACTAGGGAAGTGATCGTCCCCCTGTACTTGGCACTGCTGAGGCTGCACCTCGAATACTGTGTTTGGTTTTGGGCCCCCCACTACAAGACAGACATTGAGGTGCTGGAGCGTGTCCAGAGAAGGGCAACGAGGCTGGTGAGGGGTCTGGAGAACAAGTCTTATGAGGAGCAGCTGAGGGAACTGGGGTTGTTTAGCCTGGAGAAAAGGAGGCTGAGGGGAGACCTCATTGCTCTCTACAACTACCTGAAAGGAGGTTGTAGCGAGGTGGGTGTCGGTCTCTTCTCCCAAGTAACTAGTGATAGGATGAGAGGAAATGGCCTCAAGTTGCGCCAGGGGAGGTTTAGAATGGATATTAGGAAAAATTTCTTCACCGAAAGGGTTGTCAAGCATTGGAACAGACTGCCCAGGGAAGTGGTTGAGTCACCATCCCTGGAGGTATTTAAAAGACGTGTAGATGTGGTGCTTAGTGACATGGTTTAGTGGTGGACTTGGCAGTGCTAGGTTAACGGTTGGACTGGATGATCTTAAGGGTCTTTTCCAACCTAAATGATTCTATGATTGTTTAAAACAAAAAAGGATATCTATTATAAATAATTCAAAAGCAATGGAAGATAGTGATGTAAATATGAAGTGGGTGGGTTATCCATTCCTAATTACATTATGAATAGATTAATTTTTTTCTTTGTATTTTGTCAGTATACCAAGCCAAAGTCGGTAGTGACTGTAAGCCATCAACATGCTTCTTCATGTCCTCAGTCTAGTACAAAGGTGTTGTGTTAACATTGGAATATTGTTAGCCTTGTTGTTTCTAACTCATACCTTAGTAGGCAGTTTCTGGAGCAAAACTTCTGGTCAAAACGGCTGTGTGTCTGAACTTTGTATTCAGTCCTGGTGGTGTTTTGTCAGGATGAATTTGAGATGTGTTGTCAAGGAACCATAGAGAAACCCAAAATATGGATTGTATTGTTATTTAGGGGAGTCTTTCAATCTGTATAAATACTGACTCAATATTCAAAACTCATAAGAGATGTTAATTTATAAAATATTACTGTAAGGCTGGGAAATCTGACCTAATGATATACTGTTACTATCTGGTATCGTGATACAGCAGAAGCTGTTACCCAGGAGGGGAAGGTTGTGATTTGGAAGAGAACCATCACAGTAGTCCCAGTTGAAAGCTTGCTGTGGGTGCGTATGTAAGGAGGAAATCTGCAGCGGAATAATGCTGCAATGAAAATGGATTGAACTCCTTAGTTTTTACCCTGAGGTTGCAGGAGAACTGATGATGCAAAGACTAAGCTAGACTGTTGTGTGTTCATGCCCAATACAAGTTTATTTCCTGTAGTATTTTTCTACTGATATATTTAATCTAACCTAAAAAGATTTAAGATTTTTTTTTTCCCCACACTCTTTAAATATTTCATGATGGCCTGATTTTTTCCTTTGCATAATGCCATTAATCCTAGCTAGGTACAAGGCTTGCCTTAAAATACTTTCTAAGCTCAGTAAATGTGAATAAAAGTAACTCTAGACTTCAAAAAGATATTTCATTCATTCAGATGACCTTCCAATAGTTTATTTACATAAATCATAGCGATGGGGATTTTTGGCAGGGTTTTTCTTTTCGCTCATGGTTGCAGACACTCGAACAGGCTCAACCATTTCTTTCTCTCAAGGAAAATGACCTTTTTTGTTACTGGAGTTTTATTATGATATGTGATATGTGATTATAGTGATTAAACGGTGATGATGCATGTCATGTAATTGCGATCAAAGTAAACAAGCAGGTGCGTCGCAGCATGATTTCCTCAAACTGAGGATGCAGTACGTCAGTCGGTTCGGTCCTCGTTAAACAGCAGCAATGGAAGGGGAACTATATGCTTCCCCATGCTGCCTCTGTAGAGTTGTGCCTTTCTTACGTTAGTGCTCTGAACGTTCCTTCCCAGAGATAGCCAACTCAAAAGGTAGAGAGAAAATTTTCTGTTAGATTGCTCTTGTTGATGTTTTTTATTTATAATCCCGTTTTTAAAGCTTTTTATCACACATACCTAACAAATAAGTATTTAAACTAGTCACAAAAATAATTTTCCAAACTGTCCTCTAAATAGTGGCAGAATTTAAGGGAATGTTTCTAGTTATTTCAGACTTAAAGCAAGCTGTAAGCATTAAAAACAAATGCTGTTTAAAAACCACACACACCCCCAACACCAAATCCTAGATTTGTTGACAAATATCGTGCCAAACGGAAACTGTAAGAGAAAATTGAAATGTTATAATGGCATGCTTGCAAGATGGCTTTGACACCCTCCTTGCAAAAATATCATGACATGTTTCGCATCCAAATGTGTTCATGACCTTAGGTTCTGTGTGGCAACCCGAAGTTGGTATTTTCAGCAAGAGAATCACAAGTGCTGATGCTAAAGTTGTGGTCAGTTTTCATGTTTATTCAGAAGTTAAGTGAGACACTGAGTTACCACTATTGTTCCCTCCAGTAATATTATTCTTTGTGGGATAATGGATTTTCTTTTAGATAATAATATATGATGGGATCATAAGATAACTTGATAGCAGTCAGACTATAAAATATTTTGTGGAACATATCAGAGAAATATCTTAAAGATAAACTGACTAAGAACCTCCATTATTTGATACAGCATTTGGTGTTTGGAGAGCTAAAATTGACAAAATCATTTAGTAACTAAAGATGGACTATTCTTGTGAAAAGATGGAATTTAATCTGTGTTTCATTGTGAAAGCTGTGTCAGGGATCTGACTTCTGTCTGATTTTTATGCTTTGTTTTTGTTTCAACTTTGTAGGCTGAAGGGGACCAGTTACCTCCAGAACATACTGTCAGCCAGTATGAAACATGCAAGATCAGGACAATAAAAGCTGGAACTTTGGAGAAACTTGTGGAGAACCTTCTGACAGCTTTTGGGGATAACGATTTTACCTACATCAGTATCTTTCTCTCAACGTACAGGGCCTTTGCTTCTACTAAGGAAGTACTGGAACTTCTCCTTGACAGGTAAGAGCCAGTATATAGTGGAAACTGAGCCATCATTTACATGATAGGGGGATGTTGTCAGGCATTTATTCCATTACTTTTAGTGGACATGGACTTAATAACCTGCTGGACAGATGTCAAGAATACTGCACAATTCAGAATTTCAGCATAAACATAGAATGTCTAAATGCATTGCTGCCCACGTCCCAACTCTCGTTAAAGCATAGTCACCAGGTAGGGAAAAAAAACCAAACGGGACTGCCACCAAAAAATTAATGTAGCTTTCCCCCCCAAAAAAAGAACAGAATGTGTGGGTTGCAAAGTCATACCTAGAATAAATTCCTATGTTTTGCTGGATACTGATATTTTCAGACCTAACTCTCTTGTTTGGGGGCTGCTGATTTGAAACAGGGGTTGTACAAACATAAGAAAGAATTCACTCTCCCCTTCTATTACTTCACATGAACATGCAGTCATAAGTTTTTGCAGGCAGCACAAGAACCGCTTAATGTTATAAGAATAGCTTTTACAGTAAGACTGTTAAATCACATCTGCTACATCTGTATAAATGCTTAGAATACACAACATTAGTTTTCTCACCCTGAATTCTAACTGAGATATGACTGGGTCAGAGGTGATCTTATTTTGGGAGTATCATATTTATTGCATTTTTAAAATCAAGTGAAACAGTTATTCTGGCATATAGTAATTAGAACAGAGGAGTAGCGTAAGAACTCCTAGGTTTTAATTTTGGCTCTCCCACTAGGTAGATAAAGAACAAGGCATGGATAAGTTATCTGTGCTTTTCTTTTGTATCTCAAAAGGAGTATAATACTACTTGCTTTGGAGGAATGTTATGTGGCTTAATTAATAACGATGTTGAAATGCCTAGCTGCCAGGCCTGCTGTGATTGTAATAATAGCTGTGGTTGCTCAAGTGCAGTAACTTCACAGCCAGGTAAGAATTCAGGTGAGGAAAGAGCAGCCATGCTGGGGAGCAGACCGTACAGTTAGATTTACTACTGTGATCTTTACCTCTCAGTCCATACCAGTACTGATGTAGAACATGAGGAGCAATAAAAATCGACAGTGCATATATACAAGAATATAAAAATGTTGAGGAATTCCTTCTTTTGAATGGGTAATTCTTTCTATACCCTCAGTTTTGGATTCTATGTTTTGGACATATGCATCTTTGAAGAATAAAATATGAAAGGACACCAAGTTTGTGTGGATTCTAGTAACTTTAAAGAGGAGCTGACTTGCCAAGTTGACAGTGTGTCATGAGAATCTCTTGCTTACTAAGCATGTAAATTGCCAAAGAGCCACAAATTTATAGGAGAAACCAATAGTTGTATGCATATACATTATCACTTTCAGCTAGTAATGTTTCATGTATGATTTATTGTACTTACTTTTATAAAGATACATTTTTAACAGAAAAAGTTGGAATAAATAAAATAGTAGCCTTTGCAAGGATGCTTTGCTCAAAATGGCTGTTTTAAATATCATTACCCTAACAGTGCAGTTTTTGTTGCTCTGTGTTGGTGGGTCACCAGACTGCTCTTTTGGGGTTCTTATGTATTAACTGACATGTATCTGGGGAAATTTTCTTTCTGTGATCAATGAGAACTTGCAAGTAGCTCAAATAATGTGAATCAGTCAGTCAAAGGTGGCTCTAAGCCCGATGATACACACTTTGCTTTTCAATTAAAGGCTCTTAAGTTGTCTTAAGACAACTTATTTTTTCTTAAAGTACATTCATATATCCTGTTTAAATGCCCAGAAAGCATCTTTGTGTGCGTTCCCCACCCAGTTCAACATAGTTTTGATTTTTAGTAGTTTCCATTCTTATTTCTCTCTTACTGAGGTACTTCAGTAATGCAAGTAAATGTCCCAGCTGAGACTGTGACCTCATTTTACAAATCACTGTACAAACATGCCTAGAATTGTTTGCAACAGACCCTACCCTGAAGACCCTCTACTGTCAACAGATGATAAAGAAAAGCAGAGGAATAGA